CTCCATCCGTACCATGTCTGACGACAGAGGTTGCATAGCTTATGTCACTCGATGTTGCCCCAGTGCCTGCAGTGAAACTGTGGGTACGGTAGGGTATTCACATCTCCATCTGGGGGAACCAGGAACGCAGTAGAGAGAGGTTGCATGTCTTAACCAGGTATAGGGCCACATTCTTAGCCCTCGGCCCCAGCCCCAGCCACGAGGGTCCAAATGGCAGAGATGAGGGCGGCGCAAGCAGACCTGGGCTCCTCGTGGACCCTGTCTGTTCCAAGATCTCTGCTGCTCTTTTAGGGACACAGTATCCTCCTGGGCGCTGCCTTCCCTGTTCAAGCAGAGCCGTGATGCTTGCTGGGTGGGTGCTAGAAATTTCTTTCAGCATTCCTGCTAACTTTCATTTCTTAAAAGGGTTGCTTGCAAAGCATTGATTGACCAGCAGAGGAGATGATTTTAGATAAAGTGCAGCATCAGTAGCAAGCACTTCAGTTTCCATCAGCATAACAGCCCTCATCTGCAGGGATGCCTGAAACCAAAACCCTGGAGGACGCCTGAAACCAGAAATGGTGCCGAACCCCATAGCTACTAGTTTTTCTTATAGCGCAGACATCACTGTGATAAAGTTAAAATTACAAGTTAGGCACAGCACCCAATTAACAACAATGACGAATAATATTATAGAACAACTAGACTGCAATAAAAGCTCTGTGACTATGTTCTCTCGCAGTCACTTAGTAGTATTTTCTGACCTCAGCTGACTGCAGGTAACTGAAACCAGGTAAGCTGTGGATAAGGGGAGACAACTGGATTATGCTGTTGAGTGAGAACTGACAGCCATGTGAGAAGGCCTCTCACTGTCATCGTCAAGATCAAGCGCCACTTGTCACAAGCATCTGTTGTCTCTAATCTTTTATAACTCTACACCACCCGCGTGGGATCCACGCTTAGCCAGCGGGAGATTAGAAATATCCTCTCATTCTGTGTCGCGGGGCTACAGCCCACCTCTGGGTGAGCAAGAGGTGGTCCTTGACATCATTGATTGACTCCTTATTCTTTATCTGAGTGTGGAACCTTATATCAGAAGTTACCCACCAGTGATCCTCCAGCATAGCCCCATCTCTTGTCACTCAATAGTTCTCTCTACAATATTCCAGACACCCTAACCAGCTCACACTGAACTCTCCAGGGGTCGGTCAGTCCCTACATGGTGAATAAGTCTCCTTTTTATAATGTTTCCTTAAACATTGTCGGAAATTCCTACCTTCTGACTCTGTCCTTGCTTCACAGTCTGCCCAGCTTCCTTCCAGCATTGTCCCTTCTAGTGGTGGAGATTTTGCTTCAGTTCTCCTATGACATGGTTTGCAAAAGGCCCCTTATTGTCTGGAAGGTTTTGTTGTCAGCTTGATAGAGACTGTTATCTTGAGGGCCATGTCATGCATGCAGTACCTCAAAGAATAGGATGCCTGCAGGGCTGGGTCTGGAGAGGTTTCCCAAAGAAGCTGGGACCTCAAAGTGCTCAGGGAGTTTTAATGGAGGTGGGTCTTTAAAGATTATAAAACTTGGGCCCTCCCTGGTGGCGCAGCAGGTTAAAGCACAGCACTAAGAAGCTAAAGCCACTTCCGCATGAGTTCGATCCCCG